CAAACAATTAAAGCTTCAGACAGAATCAACAAAAAAGTTGCAGGGGTTGTCCATGGCCAGGTTGAAACTGTTGGTACTAGCTGCCAGGTCAGGGTTCATCTGCTCCACAGGGCGTGAAGGTGGAGCCGGGTGCGGGTTGCCCGGGGGGAGCATGAGGGAGGAGTATGCTGGAGGGGGGTCACTGGGGTGGCTGTGGGAGGTGAGGGCACTTGCTGGGTGAGGGTGGGCAGGGTGGGAAGGATGGGGAGGGAGAAGGGGAGGCAGGCCGGGTGGGTGTGACAGATGTGGTGGATGTGATGGGTGGGAGGGATGCAGAGGGTAAGTTGAAGGCACACCTGTAGGGTGCTGATGAGTGGAATGAGGCGGAAGTGGTTGCTGTGGTGGTTGGGATAACGTAGTTGCTGTTGATCTCTCAGATCCACTGGATCCCCCACCTGTTCCACCTGTCCCACCGCCACCACCACCTCCGCCACCACCAATACTGCCACTGCCAGAACCACCACCTCCACTACCCAGACGGCGAGCACTGCGCTGACTGGCCTCACTATCACTTCCACTTTGGGCTGGAGATGCCGACTTTCGTTCAACTTTTTTCTGGGTTCCACCGCTACTACCTGCAAAAAACAAGGAGAATTATAAGTTTCACATAATCCCTCAAAATAATATAATTAAGAGGAAATAAGCAAATATGCAAGCAATACCTAGAACCAACTTTCTATCAACTTATTACTTAAGGCTGTTTCCTGTGCCATGCTGGGCCACATGCTGTCAACCACTCAAGGGAAAAATTAGAAACACAAGAAACAAGTAAATTTTCTTTTGTTTACAGAAAATAATGGAAAAAAGTGACTTTAGCCATAATCTTAGAGGGCCCAGTTTTACTCTATGGAAGTGAAACCTGGACAGTATCATGTGCCTTGGAGTCTTGTCTTGATGTCTTTTACAACAGGTCCTTGCTCTGAACCATGGGGTACAATTGGCAGGATCATATGTCCAATCAACAGTTACACCATGAAACCTGCAAGGGATATATTACTCTGACAATCCAGGACCAACATCTCAGGCTTTACAGGCACCTAGCTCACTTTCCCATGGGCAATCTACCCGCCATGTTATCTCTTTGTGAGACAACTCTAAGTGGAGGAGGCTTGTGGGAAGACCTAGGAAGATGTGGATTGGCTAGACTGCTCAGATCTCTCATGAGGAGCTACAGATGGACTGAGGCCTAGCAGCTCACCATGTGTGACCCTCATAAGTGGAAACACGGAGTGGATGGGGCTATGTGCTCCATCAGCATTAGCCTCCATTGATTGAAATTTTAAGCCTAATTCAGAGGGGCTCAATCTAAGGGCCAAACAAGTGAACAACTGTTTAGTTCACAAAACTTAGCCCAGTGGCACCGGGTGTAAAAAAAAAAAACTACGCTTTAGCAAACAAAGGCGGCGCGCCGACTTTGAGCGTGTGAGTAGGGGACATCAGCACGAATCACCGGCTTGCCACGGTTTGGCGCGCCGCCGCAGCGTACAGCCGCATGCCAGCTTTCGAGCGGTTTGTTTTCACTCCAAACGGCGTCACCCGGCATTAAGGGGTTAAGAGCATGCTTGACCACATATGGTATGGTGCTCGTCACTTAGCATTTGGGTTAAGAAGTGACTCTTGCATTACTCCATCAATATACAAGTATGGAATGTACCATCCATGATATGACTGGAAGAGCCCTGGTTCCAGGAAGGACACTATTTCCATGATCAGGATCCTATTCCTGCCTGTTGTGACCAGCAGCACAGGTTCTACTACAGAAAAATGAATATTACAAAAAAATATGAATAACACACAGAACAAAATGCTACTTATTATTATTATTATTGCATTGATGGGAAGCATGCACTCTTGTCAGACACAGACATGGAGTCTTGTTACTTCACAGTCACTAAACCCTTATAGCAGTGGCAAGTGGTCTCCACTAAAGGAAAAAGGGTAATTACATAGTCAAGTACTGAAATAAAGCTTTTTCCCAAAGTAGGACAAAATTTCTCTTATGAAACACTGTTCTTGTTCAATAAACATCAACAGCAGTCTTTGATCTTTTAAAACATTCAACTACTTGACTGGCAATATCTTTATAATGTAGCTGAAAGTAGAAGAGTAGCTTTTCATTCTGCTTAATAGATTATTCCCTACTCTTACTTTAGTCCAAGCCAATGCAAATACATAATATAATCAAAAGAAAGATCATAGGTGAGCATATCAGAGCAGTTTTTATTTACTTATCCAATACACATTTGATTGCAAAACTGTCATGATGGATGAAAGTGTTATTGTGGCTCCCAGCTGCCTCATATGTTTACCCACTGTATGGAGTATGCTCTTCCATATTTTAGATTGCCTCTCTTTACAAAGTGGAACCCAATATGGAAAGGGTCATTCCTTCCCACTGGTTTACGATCATGGCCTTATTTTTATCTTTTTTTCACAAGCAGTGCTTCATGCTGGATGTGAGGCCCGATAATGATTCAACCCATAAAAATCTAAGCTCAGCCCATGAAGTTTGGCCGAATCAATTAAGCTTCTTGATGAATTATACCTTAACCCTTCAAGACATATTTCTATTTCACCTTGCTAGCTAACTACAAATAGGTCCTGAATTCTCATTTCTCACTAAATGCAGTATCTTTGATGTTTCTAGTACACAAGTTTACACATTTAGGTCTCTATCTCTCTCCCTCTCTCCATAACAAGTAAATTAAAAGAAATACTATAACAAGATGTTCATATAATCCATAGCTTGATCTTGTGTGCACTCATTTACATACCTTGCTTATGAATGTTCAAAATAGGTGGTTAGACACTTGAGTGCAAGATTGAGCTAACTGTGGATTATATGAACATGTTAACACAAAAATTTTCTGTTATCAAATTCATAATAAGCAGGCATGTATAGATGCCTGAGCCCAGGATTGAAGCAAAAGTGGATTATATCTCTCTCTCTTGCTCTCCCTAGCTATTTGCTCCTCTCTCTCTGTCGCAGGCTTTAGCTCTCTTTTACACTCTTAATTTTACTTTCTCTTTCTCTCACTCTTTTTGTTCTCTCTAGTTCTCTTCTCTTTAGTCTCTCTCACTTTATTTCACTTTCACTCTCTCTCCCCCCCCTCTCTCTCTCCCTCTATAAGAAGTAAATTAATAAACTAAAAGCTATAGCATGTGGTACCACTTACCAGAACCACTGTTGGTGCTGCTGTCTCTATTAAATGCATATGATTCATTGGTGTAATTGAATGGCATTGGCGCGTAGCCTGTAGCTGGGGGAACATAAGTGCCAGCGTATGGCATATGTGGGCCACCCCAGGGTGAAGCTGCTGATGGGGGCGGTAAAGGCGCTAAGGTGTCCCTGTCTGCCTCGCTTAGTGTGTCATCTTCCCCTAACTTTAAGCTTGCTAAGCCTGAAATTAGAAATAGGCATTGGTTAATCAACAATGTCATACAGTGCTCAAATAGAATATATCATAAACAGTAATAATTCAGAGGCCCAATAAAACCCAACAGAACCCAAGGTTGGCCAGATTTATTATTTTTTTTATAAAGATACTTGGAAAGGGTTCAAACCCAACTGAATCAAAGTTTATTTACCCAATGGATCTGGGTGATGTGCCCATCTGGCTAAGGTCCAGATGATGGGAATATACCATAATAGAAAAATCTGGCTGAGGGCCAGGAGGACAAGAATATACAATTATAAAAAAATATATCACAGAAGGTTGGGATGACAGGAATGACTTGCCAAGAGTGCACAATGGTCTTGAAGGAAGATTTATCTCAACAGATTTAGCAGGGGGCTCTTGTATTATTTCCACCAGTAAACAAGTGTGGAGCATACAATCCATAAGCACATAGCTGGAAGAGCAACAGCTCCAGGGAGGACACAATTTCTACTCAGGATCCTGATACTGCACACAAGACCAATAGCACAGGGTGTGTTACAGAAAATTGGATAATACAAAAACAGTTTTAACCCATTACTGCTGGGTCATGTGTACGGCTGTAAGCTTGGCATATCAACTGACAAATAAAGAGACCTTGAGAAAATGGCAAAAATAAATAAAATTCTTAAGCAGAAAAAGAGATAAGAATGTCTTGACAATGCACAAAAGTGTTAATGAGGGCTAGGCCTACAAGCCACAAACCTGGGAGCCGACATTCAAGCCAAACGCCTAGATTTCTGCAACGTGCTGGCAGTGAGACACCCAGCTCCAATGGGTTAAGGTTTAGTAATGCTTTCAACTGGGAATAAATTTACTAAGAAGTTCTAAATCTGAATAATTAATCATATATATCTATACCCATGTTCTATCGCATCATTCCATCATACATAAAACACTATGTATCTTGAGTTTCTGAGACCTTCCCAACAAGCGCTTGGTGATTGTCTAATCAAACTTACCTTTCAGTACCAGAGAGAACATTAAAACATTACAATCTGACTAGAAATTAATTAATTCTTACTTTCAGTAGCCTAAACTGACAGATCACTGGAAATTGGCCCTAGCTGTCTGGAAAACGTGACCCATCTATTTTTCTTCGGAACAAAAAATTTAAAGCAATATATATTTAACATTAGTGTAGGATCAAGCAAACACGATACAGTGAAAGGCTTGAAAGTGTGTGTCATGTTGCAGCTGCCAACCCCCAAAGATTCATGATCAAGCTTAGTATTATGCAAAAACTATAACATGAATGTGAATTGAAAAAAAAAATTCATGTCATGTAAAGGCATGTCTCCATGTTTTTTTGTGTTTTTTTTTTCCAAATCACTATTAATATCAAAGGAAATATCAAATGGTAATAGAGTAGCTGAATCATAGCACAAATCAAGATGATTTTGAGACAGGAGGAAAAGAAAAAATAAACAGAGCAAATATATTAACCCAAAGAAAAAAAATCAGGGTCACATAAAACAGAAAAAAAAAAATTATCTACAAAAGAAAGTAGAGTGGAAAAAAATA